GAAGTGAAGAACAAATTCAAATCTTGAGCTGCAATACTTAAGGATGCTATGGGCTGAAGAGATACACTGGAGAAGAGACTAATGTTGTTAACAATTTCAGCTTGCTTGGCTCCACAACCAACACTCTTGCCACCTGCAGTTAGGAAATCAAAAGACAGGGCCACTCCAAAGTGCAAAAGAGCAATGATGTCAGTCTAGAGACCAAGGTGCATCTGATCCAGGCCATGGTCTTCGCAATTACTTGCTATGCATCAGAGAGCTGGACAATGACTAAGAATGACAGAAGACAAATCGATGCCTCTGAGTTGTGGTGCTGGAGAAGAATACTGAACACACCAAGAGAACAAAGAGGTCTATTTTGGAGGAGAAACCAAGTTTCTTCTTGGAGGCAAGGATTTTGAAGCTCCATCTCACATACTTGGGCACAAGGCCAGGGGAGATCAGTCATTGGAGAAAGATACCATGCTTGGAAGGGTGAGGGTCAGTGAAGGAGAGTAAGACCCTGGATGAGATGGACTGACGTGGTAACTGGGGTAATGGGGATAGATGTGCCGGAGTCAGTGAGACTGGCTCAGGATAGGGCAGGCTTCAGAGCTGTTCTACACAGGGTTGCTATGAGTCGTAGGCAACTCAGTGGCACAAAATAATAACCACTTAAAAAACAGTTGAACCAGAACTGTGGCCCCAGGAGTCATAGTCCAGGACCTTTATCTAGATTTACTGGAGGGCTCATAGGGAAGCTGTGGCAGGATTAAGAGAGTACTGTAACATTGTCCTAAAGTGATGAAGTTGAAGGTCAAAGAGAAGCACACCTGAGAAGCTGTCCAGGTTGAAGTACTATATCCTGTTTCCAATCTGAACTATAACCTGTTACTTCCTTAATAAAACCTATAATTACTGTACTGAGTGCTGGCTGTGGCCTGTATCTGGCCACTGCAATAGATTAGCAGAATCATCAGAGCCCTGGGAGGAATGGATGGTGTTAGAACTGACAGAGGCAGAGGCAAGCACGTGGGAACACGTTGGACCTCACAGGAACTGGCTTTGTGCAGCTTATGTGGGTGAGGAAGGACTCTCCCCTTGTGAAGTCAGCATCGGTCAGACTCCCTGACCCCCACGCTGGCTGTTTCTGTTTTTACACATACACTATCCACTAGGGAGCTCTGATGTTCTAGTGGGTAAGGAGCTGTGCTGTCAACCCAAAGGCATGTGGTTCAAGACCACCAGTTCCTCGGTAGGAGAATGACGAGCAATCTCCTCCTAGGTGAATCTGCCTCTGAAAACCAGCTGGAGGGTCTGCAATGGGTCAGTTCCAACTCAACGCCTCATAACAACCTCCTTTCATACTGAGTTATCCATTCTCCTGCTGGTGGTCATTTAGATCACTCTCTGTATCTCCGCTTTATAATCCTGTTGCTCTGACCATCTTTCGACGTGTCCTCTTGCACAGAGATCTAAGAATTCCTCTGCGATACAGACAGAGGCGGCCAAGGAGCATTTCTACCGTCAACTCGACTGAGCTGCTGTCTAAATGGCTTCCAGGAATAGAGGAATTTCCACAGTTCCGTAAATTTTCCAGCTTAAGAATTTGAACTATTTACCTCTTGCCAAATTTGATTAGCGGGAACAGAACTAAACAACTTTCCAATTTGTGAGTGTCCACTGGCTATCAGGTTCCTTGCAAACGGCCTGATCCATCAGGCTTTCTAAGGGATTTTCTGTGCCTTGCAGCTTTTAGGAATCTTTTACAAGATGCTAACAACCAGTTAGTGAACTCTGGTGGCCTACTGGTAAGAAGCTGTGCTGCAATCCCACAGGCACACAGTTCAAGTCCACAAGTGGCTCTGCAGGAGAAGGATAGGCACTCTCCTCCTATGTGATTCACAGCTTCTACAAACCCACCAGAGGGTCAGCTATGGGTCTGTTCTGACTCAGGGGCACATAACAAGTTAGCAGTTAACCATTTGTTAATTAAATGACCAGTATCAACTGTTAATTGTCTTCTCAGTTTTTAAGTGATTTATTTTAAGAAATAAAAGCTGTTTTATCCTTCAATTTTCATGTTGTCAAATTTTCTTTTCAGGTCTCTTAAGCCATTCTTCCTATCCCAGCATCTTAAAATATTTATTTCCTTCTGCTTTCTGTTCTGCTTTCCATATTTATGTCTTTAGTTTAGGAAAAATGAAGGTCATCAAGATACTAAAGCATGTTAGTCATGAAGATGGAGCTTCAAAATCTTAGCCTCTAAGGAGAAACTTGGTTTCATCTTCTCCAAGACAGACTTGTTTTCTTGGTGGCCCATGGAATGTTGAAGATTCTTCTCCAGCACAATTAAAAGGCATCAATTCTTCTTCTGTCAACCTTAGTCTGCCCAGTTCTCTGATGCACTGCAAATAATTACAAAGACCACGGCCTGAATCAAGCACACCTTAGTCTCTAGACTGACTGTGTTGTTTTTCAGCCCTCTGGAGAGGTCCCTGACAGCAGATTTTCCCTGTGCAATTCATCATTTGATATCCTGACTGCTGGTGCCAAGAGCGTTGATAGTGGAGCCACACAAGCTATAATTGTTAACAACCTCAGTCTTTTCTCATCCATCATGGTGCTGCCCATTGGCCCAGTGGTGTGGATCTTTTGTCTCCTTGATGATGAACTTCTCAAGCAAGATCATTATACTAGTTAGGATTTATGACAGTTCAGTGCTTCCCATTTTAACCATCAAAACCTTTTTTTTCCTTACTGCATTTTCTAGCAATTCCAGTACAGAGTTTATTCATAACCCACTGCCTCCTAGCTGAGTCATTAGTGGAATTTCACAGGCTGTGCATTACAGAGGAGGAGACTGCCCGTCCTTCCATGGAGCATCTGGTGGATTTGAACCTTGTGCCTTTGAGATGGCAGAACAATGCCTTATTTTCTAGGCCACCAGAGCTCACTACAAAATTATGGTATGTGACAACTAGAACACTTGTCTTTTAACTTTAAAAGAACTATCTCTGCTATTTTGCTAGATAGGAAATATTTGCTATAAATTTTCATAAGGGTTTTATCAGGTTAAGAATTCCTTTCAATT